TGTCCCTGTGCCCATGGCATGAACCCAGGAGTGGTTACTGCCAGTTACATGTGATTCTATGCAAATATGTCTCAGACATGAAGTGCAGCAAGGTCATATAGTTTGCAGAAAGGGGCCATAGTGGGTAGAGCTAGATAAGCCAGAGTCAGAGAGGAGGATGAGGAAGGAGCAAGGGGACCATGAGAAGTGAAAATGAAGGTCATTTGTAGGTGTGAAGATGATGCTATAAAGCGCATTATTTTGTACAGCAGACACTGACAAATGGGAATCTTAAGACAGTCTGACTAGTGGAAAATGTTACTGTACAAAGTTATCCACACAAAATGTACGCACAAAAGACTTACAATAAAGAAAAGGAAGTCTTTTGCCCTTTGGAGCCAAGAGGACATGAACTTGTACACAGTGGGTTCCAAATAAAGTGTAGGTAAAGCTGGAAAAGACTGGACCCTTCCATTGTCATACAGAGTTACCACAAAACAGCCAGCAATTTACCTGTTTATCTTATTGCATTCCTTTGATCAAAGAATAAATAAATTTCACAGAACATAATGTGAAACGAATATTCAGCAACTTGGGACCAGATGGCCAGGCCACTTGGACCCCTCGACTGCATGGAAACTTCAGGCCATGGGCTCTTTTTCCTCATGATTATGTTTCAAGTGGGGGCTTCTGGGCCTTAAGTCAGCATTCCTGGTGTGCAGAACTGGGAAGAGGAGTATTTTGCTTCAGAAACTTTTCTATAGAAATTCGCAGATCAGAAAAAAATTAAAACTACTTTAGCTAGAGAAAAATCATCAGAAAAATGAATGTTATTTTGTCTGCACCACCAGGAAATATTTTATTCCTACATTTGTATGGAATTTGAGTATGTCACTCAGCAGCTTCTCCAACTACTTTGCCCCAATTTCTACAGTCAAAGTTGGGGCTCCACATGCTATTCATATCAATGAGCTATTATTTCATGTATGGCAAAAATATATTTCATATATAGTAGGGACCAAGGGCCAGTCCATGTATAAAAAATATGGATGTTATGCTCTGGGTTGGTCTTTACAAGTGGGGTCTGCTTTCTTAGGGGATTCACTTTTTGTGTAATGGACAAGGAATAAGCCAGCCACTTTTGATAAAGACCCTGGCCGCCAGGTGTGTTCGCAGGCAAGGTGATGCTGGGCTTCTGCCCTCGGCACGTGGCTGGGGTGTGCGACAAGTCAGTCTGTGGGCCTCTCACTTGTACTTTATCCACTATTTCCTGACAGACTAAAGGAGGAAAGAGAAGTAATTTATTCTGTGTCTTCCAACTTGTTCCAACTAAAGTCACAGCCTGACTTTGGGGACAGTGAAGAGAGACGGTACAAAACACAGAACACTAGGTACAGTGACTTCCTCATTCACTTTGGTTCTGTATAATTTTCCTATTAAAATAATTAAGCCCCAATCAATCTAGAGACAACTACTGAGACAAACAAACACAGTACTGTGTCCAGAGGGAGTGCTGTGCATCGGGGACAGGGGTGCAGGCGGGGATTCTTCTTCCTCACAATGTGACAGTAATGAGAATTGCAGTCTTAGTGTTGAGACTTCATAGGAGCCAAGAGCTGCACCACTCCTGAAGGTACAGGTGTGAGTGGGAAGCCTCGCCTTGCCAGAAAGGCTGGGCCGGAGATGTCTGCACCGCAGCTACCAAGGTGAGTGACAGTAATGCATCACTGGTTTACTCAAAGAACCTGGAAATTTTCCCGCGCAGGCCTGCCTCTGTCTCTCGGGCTGAGCAGGGGAGTTCAGAGGGCCTGTGCACAGCACGACCTTGCCCCTTCTTAGGATAGTTTAAGAGCAATGCACCATGGCAACAAGGCCAGGTGGGCCAATTGCGGGTGAAGGACTCTAGGAACGTGCAAGCCTCTCGGCCTTGAAGCCCGGACACTGCGCCCTGAGAGTGCTCTGGGCTGGGGTGCTGCCTAAGGTCCCCTTCTCCCTTGCTTCAAGAAGCCAGAGATGTAGAAGCTGTTCAAGAATCTGTGAAGAGCTCTGTATCTGTAGCCTGAAATCTCACTGCCGTGACCAGTCTGTCCACAGCAGTACCTTTTTAAAATTTAATGGTATTTTTTGATGAATTTCTGCATCTCCATATGAATCCAGTGTGGAATTTTCTTTTCTTTGAACAAGGCTGTTTGTAACGTTTGCAATTCTGGTTGAGTCAGCAGTGATGCTCTGAGATGCCTTTTACACACTGTAGTTGATAACATGCAATATATAGCCTTTTAAAATTTATTTAAACATGTGTTCTTAATTTTTTTAGCTCTTTTTGTCTTTACAGTTCATTTCTTATCATCCTAAAAGTATATATTACATTCCATTCTACAGAATTGTAGTGATGTGTTGCCCATTGAATGACATCTCAGTTGCTTACACTTTGGGGGCAATTATCAATAAATATAATATAAATAATTGTGTACTGAAAAAATAAAGTTTTCATCTCTGTGTACATCCATGAACCATATATGTCCTAATATACCATATTATTCTATGCTTTTTACGAAGCTTTATCCCTTGTATGCAACCCTAATACGATAACAATTTAATTATTAAATGTAATCATTGCACGGAGAATAATCTCACTTATATTTGAGGAAGTGACCCCGAGTGGAAAACTCTCTCATCTGCCCACGTTCTCCGTGTTACGACCAGGTGGGCGTCACACATGCACCCGAAGGCCGCACCTCTCTTTCCTAGTAGTTTCCTGTGCTGTTTTCCACCACAGTCTGGCTGAGCAGCCACCTCTCACTCTGATGTTTTCACTTCAGATAGAGAGCAAGAGAAGCCACTTCAGGGAAGTCTCTGAAGCTGTCCAAAATAATGCTGAGGGCAACACTGAGTAAGAGTCAAGTCTGAGCTTAGATATAGGGGAAGGAAGAGCAGGTAGAGGAAGAGGGGCTCCTAGGCAGAGGGCCTCCTGGGCAAGCAACAAGGAGACCTGGAGAGAACAGAGGGCTACTGGGACGGATCCAAAGCAGCAGCTTTCACTAGATTCTATATGTGAGTAAACGCCTAAGTTTTATTTCACGCCTTTTAGTCCATGCAGCTGTGCCTGACAACGCTTGGCCCATACTTCACTGCATGTGAGGCTGGGCACAGTCATTTCCGTGCCGCTTGTCCATAGCCGGTGAGTGTCCCTCCAAAGGGAGGGGACAGGGGTAGCTGGCGCTCCGGTGGCTGTGAGGTGCCCTGCGTCCACACTTAGGCTGCTTTTGGCTCATGATGTCAGCGGCTGTCTGAGCAAGCATGAAGCGATTTTCATCACATTGTAGAAAGGGCAGGAGGAAGATTCCCAGAAAGAAGTTGCGGTGTACATGTGAAACACGGGCGGTCGCCACGAACTGATCACACAACTGATTCGTTCTGTTCTGGAAATATTGTCCATATTTCACACAAATTCATCAGTGAAAAATGAATGTACCACTTTTTGACATGAAGAAGTATAAGCCTAGCCAGTCTGAAAGTAAAAGTAAGTATATAGTTGGGTCTATACAGAACAAAGCAGCTCTATTTTTTCAGACAAATTGGGGAAAAACTGAGGAAAAGCAGTCTACAAAGGCAATTGCAACATAATTTCTCCCAAGGTCATGCAACAATTGTAAAATGACATCATGCTATTTTATAAATTATTATTATTTTAATGTATTTGGTATAAGGTATACAGGGTCTATGGGGTCTCAATACATAGATCAGACTGGTCTCACTACATAGATCCTCCTCTTTTCAGCTTCCTAAGCACTGGCATTACAGGCATGTGCCATCCGGCCCAGTTTTAATGCCCTCTCAGAGCACCGGGAGGTGGTGGTGGTGACATGTCACACCGAGGATCGAACCTTGGTGGCTGTGCTCTGCTGAAGCAGATGCTTTAGTCTGCTGAGCTATCTGGTTGGCCCTCATCATGCTAGTTTATAAACTTTCTCTTGTTTCTGTTTTTCTTCTTTGCATACCACTAATAACTCAATCTATTTTGCTATATGCAGCCACCATTTAGGATCCCTCCATAATAAACTGACCTTAATTTATGTCAAGGAAGGCATTATGCAACTTATCGAGGTAAACTCAATAGTCCTCTGAGGGCATCCATGGGAATTGAGACCTCTCCTAAGATTTTGTAGAGATTGTTCCATGGCCCTTCTACTGCATTCTCCTGGCTACTGGGAATTATCTGCTTTTGTTGGTAGTAGACTATTTTCAGGGTATCTTTGGCTGATCAGATTTAAAATTTTGGAATCTTTTTCAAAAGGTTCTACAATTTAATTGGCTATTGAGGACAGCAATCGAAAATGTGCCTGAACATTTGTAGGCAACAAAATCACAGAATCAGTTGGAATTTAAAATACAATCTCACATGGAAATGGATTTCAAATATTAAGTATTTGGAAGCAAAATGAAAAGTTGAACATTGTCTCACTCATATAGCAGGAGAAATAAAACAAATATTCAACAAAATAAGAGACACTATAGAAGTAGAACTGTAATAAATCTAAGAGATGTGAATGAACTTGAAGCTGCATTTTACAGGTGTCTCCACAGTAGGTGGAAGAGGCAGGCAGGACATCCGAAGGCCAAGCTTCTGGAAATGAGTGATGACAATATGACACAAGGTCAGAAAGTAGAGATTTGGAGAACTTTGTCTCAATTCAGCAATGGTGTGAATGATCATAAGTGGGCTTTTTAATAATATGAACAAGCAGGTTGCTTTTTTCAATGGAGTTAAAAAAAACTTTGAGTTGAAACCACTACAGATGTGTGCAGTAGTCCTCAATATGACATTTGTGTCTAAAAAGAAATCCTCACAAAAAAACAGTTTTTTGGATAAAAATGTGCATATATGTTTTGACTGTCTTTCATACTACAAAAGCTTTTGTGACATGAGATATTTTTTCCAGATACCTATGGTCATTTTACTGATGATTTCTTCAACAAGTGCCTCTCTGGCTGAAATGTTTTCTTCTTACAAAGTAAAAATGGAACTAAAATTTGTCAGAGGCACAGTCTTTGCCTTTCTCATTGGCTTGGGCACTGTGGGGAACATCTTTGTTTTTGTGAGCTATGCACTCATGTCGGCAGGCACTGACAGGAAATGTATGCATCTTATTCTCATCCATTTGTCTTTCACACACATCATAATGCTTCCCTGCCAAGGCCTGCCAAAGATAGTAGCAGCATTTGTCTTGAGAAACTTCCTAAATGACACAGGCTGTAAAGTCGTTGTTTACCTGCAGAGGGTGGCTCGGGGCCTCTCCATCTGCACCAGCAGTCTCCTCACAGTGGTCCAGGCCATCACCATGAGTCCCAGACACTCAGGGTGGAGGAGGCTCCAGCCCAGGACAGCATGGGTCTTCCTCCCTCTGCTTCTCTTCTTCTGGATTCTCAATTCCACAATAGGCATGAACTTACTTCATTACGTCAAGAAAACCAACACGTCAAAGTTCACTAGCAATAATGAGAGATGTGATTTTCAACCCAAAAATCCCCAAATAAGATGGCTTTTTCTCATACTCATGGTCCTACGGGATGCTGTGTTTCAGGGTCTCATGGGTGGGGCCAGTGTCTACATAGTGCTTGTGCTGCACAAGCACCACCAGTGTGTTCTCCGCCTGCAGAGCTCCAAGCTCCTCTACACAGCACCCCCTGAGATCAAAGCTGCTCAGAGTGTTCTCTTTCTGATGCTCTGTTTCATTTTATCCTATTGGATAGAATGTATATTATCTCTATTTTTAAACTCCTTGTTGGAGAATAATGCCATAGTATTTAATATTCGAGAACTTCTGACTATGAGCTATCCCATTCTCAGCCCATTCTTGCTGATTCACAGAGACGGACATCTGCGTGGATGTGGGAGAGGCCAGTAGCAGAAGCCCTTTGTTTAAAATAAAATGTCTGTTTATGCTTCTTTTCTTAAGTGTGAAATAAGTGTAAGCTTTATTGTCTAGTAGCATATGTAATAAAAATCAAGTGAGAGTACATCATACATTTAGGTGACAGTTCTGGTGATGGCCCTGAGCTGCATGGGTAGCAGAGGCAGCTGTCTTTCATCCCACACCTTGTACCTGCAGGAACTGGCTACTCCTGCTCATCAGTGGGCCTTTCCACTGCCAGCTATGCCTGTAGGAAGAAGGACGAGGGCACGAATAGTCAGTACATGCTTGTGGGTCGGGAGACAACACAGGGGTGCCATTAAGTTCAAATAATAAATTAATTATAATTATAGTATAAAGGTGCATATGTGGTGGCCATTTCAAAAGAAGAAAATGTAATTTATAAACTAGGCAAGCAATTCTTAGATACTCTCTGTGATCCAAGAGTTTCATGTCAACAAATGATATTGCAGAAAGATAATCTTGTTGTTGGGAGACAGTCAAAATGGACAGATACAAACCACAGTGTTATCATCAAAAGAAACATAAGTATCAAATGAAAGGGCCATTTTACTTGTCTTTTTCACAAATTCAACAATATCTATCTATCTAAGAATTTTTTATTGAACTTTAAAAGAATAGGCAAGGGCACACCATGATGCTGCATGGTTATTGATGTTACATATATAATTAATCAGAAAAGCTATGCATGGCAGTAATACTTAGAATAGAAGATGTTTGGCTGTATATTTTTCACATTAGGAACTTATGTAAGAATACTTAAGTAATCAACTCAAATACTCCAGTAATCATGCCTTGAGAGAAACTGTGTCACTAAATGTAGTAACTGGAATTTTTTCTCTAATTTTTCTGATTGGTTGACCATTTAAATGCATGTCAAACAAATCAATGAATCAATGTGTAACACAATTTGTGACTTATTTGTGGAATTCACATATGAATGTCATCTGTCTCTGCCTTTAAAGATTCACAACATATTCTGGGTTTAAATTATGTGTTAACTTTTAATTTTTTTGGAGTTCTACCGTGTTTACATATTATACATATTTCAGAAGATGAATAAGTCTTTTAAGGTCTTTCATGGAGCCATATTGAAAATGCATGATATCTCTGCCACCTCACAGAACCCAGGGAACAAGAGAGACTTCCAGTCCACTGTCCAAAGTCACCCTTCTGCATCTCCCTGAAGGCCTTGTTTTTATCCGGTGTTGTCCTTCTTGTGTAATGTTTCCTTTTTATTACTGTGTTCTTGTGATTTGAAACAAAGACTCTTGTCTTGATGAAATGGTGTTTGTGCAAGTTGCTTCCTGACCACTTTTACTTCTGTGTTGCCTCCCCATCCTCTCCTCTCCACCCGTCCGTAGATCACCATCCGTGATAGCAGTGTTGGCTGCCATTGGTGTTCATTTCTCTGTACTGTGTTCTGAATAATCTAAGCAAGTCACTCATGTTACTCTGCCAAAGATCCCTTAAGACATTTAAGAGTTCATCATTTTTTGTACAACTATGTCTTATTTGAAGACAATGGTATGTTATATATCTCAATTTAATCATTTTCCCATGAAACACTTTTCCTAATGTATATAAAAACAAGACAAAACAAACAATCCCCAAATAGATCATTTGCCATTGATTGAAGATGCAGAAAT